AGAGAAAAGAGTGGAACCAAAAGTCCTTGGCCCGCCAAGAACAGCCTCAGCACCTGTGACATCATCCTCCTCTTGAGGGTTACCCTACCATGAGTCTTCAAGCGGTTGATCGCCCCTAACACGTATCGCACGCAAGAGTGACTCCGCGTAAGCAGAAAAAGAACGCAGATATCTTGCACGTGAGATGGCCACAGGTGAGCTCAGCGTCATGCCAAACACGATGAGTCTCTGAGCGGGTAGATATAGACTTAAACCCAAACGATCCAATATCACCAAAAACCAATAAAAAAGACAAAAGACTAGAGAGTGCCACATAAAAGACCAAGCATACAGAAACAGAAATGCCTAATCCAAGTTCCTGAATAGATGTCAGCAAGGACACCAGAGATATATCCCTGACCAAAAAAACAACAACCATAAGAAAAAACCAAAAAATCATCAGAGCTCACATATAGTGACCGATCAGCCACACACATCACTCATTGTCATTTTCTTGTTATACTAATTCAACATTACACATGTTAAATCATTTGCAGTTATTGTCATTATCTAGGTACTCCCGATAGCAGCCGTGAATAATACAGGGGTATCATCCCCCCTTCACAATCCTGACTGGGCGAGCGCGCAGAGAGCGCGGCTAAATTGTAAAGGGGGGGAGAGTGGCCACACGGGGGGACATGTCCCCCCCCTCATTTTTGTAAGGGAACCGTTTTGGTCCCATATGCAGTTTTTAAGCGCCCGTCCATAAAGATAATGCAAATATTGTTATAACATTATAGTAAATACAAATGACTTCCATAGTCGAATGAGACAACTAGGAGAGACCTACCATGCTGCGCTAAAAATAAACGGCCCCCGCTCAAGCTGAAGCCTGTCTCCGCTTAGTTTAGACTCCCGCCCACAAGTCCATCGATTGAAAGCACTTCGTGCCCCCAAGAAGTGTCAAATTGTGTGCAAATATTGCCGTCGCAAGAGCTGATCACTCCATCCTTGCTTGCACGACTCTTGTGATATTGCTAGATTTGCCTCCTATAGTTGTACATTACTCCACGCCCATGCGACTCTTCATCCAGTTAGCCCTCCAGCATACAATCCTACGTTTGAATCGGGTGTCCCATGGTGCGTATGTGCGTGTGTGTGTGTGTCGCCAGCTCCTGGAAATCAAAAATTTCGCCCCTTTTCCTTTCGTGGTTTGTCAACCCTTCAAGTGTTTCTTTCCACTTGGTGTGGCGAAGCTACAAAGAAAGTACATCATCATCGCCTGGGATATAATCCTTTGTGCTACATCACGAAGCAAGTGCTGTTTGAAACACATACTGCGCTCCCTATGTTAATTCCCATAACCAAAACCACCAACTTGTTTTATACAACTCACTCCTTCGGAGCCCATAGTTTTCTAAGCTAAAGATAAAGTCAATGGATGAAGCACAGCGCTCCGTGCACTATGTTACACACCTGAGCGAATTTTGTGTTCTTGTATATGATGATGTTGTCTAAGCAATGGTATGTGTTATACACCATGTGTAGAAGATGTGACATTATATTGTAGTAATGCAACTAAGAAGAAAAGCTATATTTCCCTATTCTAGTCAATCTGCCCCCATGTCAATAAATGCGACCAAGTTTTCTGTACAGCTTTTTACTGCTAAGAACGACATTGTCAGGCTTTTTCAAAACAAAGGAAGTACTCAGTAATTACCGTTCCACATGATCTAAATAGGGAGCGAACACTAGGTGGTACCTGAAAGGACAGCCACTGTAACCTAACCATACAATACGCATTTTTCAACACATTACTATAAAATTATCCTATTTGTGCAGTCTTATATCTACTATGAAAGAATACCTTAAATATCAAGCAGGTTTTGCCATTGCTCCTGCTATAAATAAATCTTCAACTAATAGGAAACTCCAAATTATTGAAATTCTGTTTTTATAGTTTTAATGTTTATAAGTGTATTGTAACGAGAAAAGGCTTCACAACATAAGAAAATGCCAATATCCTGAATCGGTTCGATATCTAGCACTTCGATTTCTACCTTGGGATAATCATGTTTACATCCCTTAGAGTGTGCCTACTTACAACTGAATAAGAGTCGAAAAACAACGGAATGACGTATACTTCTGTGCCTCCTGAACACTATATAGAGGGCTGCCGAGAGCACATCATATACGGTACCAAATACATCACACTGCGTATCATATGTTTTCTATACAAGTTATTGCGATTGGGGGTGGTGAGAATGACCTTATTTTATAATTTAGCAAATCTAATTAGGTACGGGGATATTGTTCACGAGTAATTCACAGTGTAGACGTTATTGATTTCTATATTGATATTAATCAATGATTTGTTGGAAGGAATGTATTTGGGGTCTCGTTAGTTATAATACCAAAGCAAACCGAGTATTAGATCATGCTCATCACGCGTAATGAGGCCAGATTTGTTGAGTCAAACAATGAGGAGCCTGCAAGACATAGACGACACAAGCAAAGAACCCTCAGTGAGAGAACTGTGCATTTGAACATAGAGACATCTGCGACCTGGCTCAGAGTAGTTGTTCTCAACCATTCTACTGGAAACATGTAACCATCTTTATCATGAGCACCATTTTTATATCAAGAACATATTATCTTTTCCGTTCCCTGTAGCGTCGTGGAGCCATGCGTCCGACCAGAATAACTATGCAGACTTGACTACACTCGCGCCGAGTGAGGGATTTGCATATAGTGAGAAGTGCTATCCTGATTGTCTTTTGATTTAGATAAGTGTCCGACTAAAATATATATTGGTCGCCAGCATGCACACCATTAAGCTATGCAACCTTGTCAGACTGCTTGCAAGCGCGAGTGTTTAGACACGTAGGTCTTATTTCGACAGCACACAATCTACAAATTTAGACTCTCTTTCGCGTTATAAAAATTATTGTATTACCTGGAGTAAACTTCCGAGTTGGCGTAAGCACAATGGAAATAGACGGTAAAGACGCGCAATGTCTCGATGACTATACATTAAGATAGGATTTATTTGCGTGACCTAGAAAGCCATTTCACCAACCACGTAGCTGAGCCGTAGACTTCCCGTATGGAGTCCTGACTTAATTCAAACCTGGAGTTGTATAGAGAGTGCCCGAATAGTGGACAGTCCGCTCACCGGAAGATGAAATTACATAGTGGACCATATCACTTGGGCTATGAAAAATCATATACTTGTATAGGTCTCTTTGTACCTCAGAACTGTATGATCGCACTAGGCCCATGAGCGATGGCATGATCACTACCCATTCATTAAGGAAGAGGCGAACAAGTTTCTAGGATGAGAGCGAGATTCACATAAACAAGATTAACAAGAGTGACGTTATGTAGACCGCGCGCGCATGGCGAAGTCTCCTCCCTGAAATGGCTTTTCAGCAGTCATAGACACAATACTTACAGGAGGACCATGCTACCAATGTAACATCGGCCAATATTACTTCATTACCAAAATATTCAAACAATGTACCGAGGACAGTAGCACAATCAATGTGCCTAGCTAGTTACACTATCCGGTGAAGCCTGAGAGACATAAGAGTGTATGAATAAACCAGACGAGGAGAGAAATAATGTGTGTAGCTAAATTCAATGCGCTATTTTATTAATGTTTCCAGTGGGAAACTACTCCTGACAAGTCAGTGTCTGTCAAACCACAAGTTTCTCAGGTTCTTTCTTTTTGTGTCCTCATCCAGGGACAAGCGGTTGAAGCTTCTTTGTACATAGAAGTACACTCGGATACGTCAGCGACGAGCACAGAGAAGGCTTAGGGTCTCTTAACAAATCATTCTCCCTGATCAAGAAATCCAAGACACAACAGACCAGAGAAAACAGCTTGCTTGGAGTTAGCAGACCCCAAATAATGTTCACCATCATCATGATAAATCGGATCCAAATGATTTTAAATTATTAGTGATGGATATACGAAATTGTGATTGCCACGGCAACAAAATAACATCCATTACCCATCACCAGCATTCACCCAGCAGAATATATATGGCGTAGTGAACTAAAAAATTGATTCGCGCAACAGTGAATGATAGAGTTTTTAATCCGAAAAGCGAGTATGTTACGAGGGAGAAGTTAGCAGCCCGCTATAGTAGATTTTGTTTCGAGAAGGACACTTGTTGACCAGAGCTTTTGTCTTCCCGTAGTCGTGCCTACGTTATCACAGGGCACTAACACATCAGGGAGGAAAACTATCATGACTTCAGACGTCAGCCAATATGAAACACAGAAATCTTCGGCAAATTTGGGCCATTAGTGTTTACCTAGGTTGTAATACAAAAATGGAGAATCCTCTCCTTTAATATATTATAAGAGGCTCCAATAGCGCATACTGATATTTTTAGAATTTCGCTGTTTGAAAAGAGCCTAAAAAGATGTAATGTAAATGCCAGTGTTGGTGCCTTCAATAAATTGTGGTCAATGAGTTGTAATCAACAGTATCTGGGCTGTCTTTTCCTTGTGTTTGAAACAGACCTGCACTGGTGTCGTTCTCCCCTTCTTTTTAAGCAGTAACCAAATTAGATACTGCACACTGTAGACCAATTCGGAATGGTCGTCAATTATCTATTGTATAGATTAGCCAGCATATTGAAAAGGGAAATGTCTCTGTTCTTGACATATTTATTGACATCATTCTTAAAAAGAATCCCACTCCGTGATTCATATTCCCATTTTGATGACAACACCATCTCATCAGAAATACAGATGCATGGAAGCAGTAGAGTCAGCGAGTGGTTAACTGCAGATTTGCATACCCGACCATTTGTATCTATCTTTCTTGAGAAAGTGGCTCAGTGGGACAGAATGATGTAACAAAGTGAGAAAACAGCAGGGCGAAGGAACAGTCACCGTATTGATATGGGCAGATGGAGCAAAGGTTACAGGGGGGCGAGTGAGATGTATCTTGTCTGCGTAAAAAGCTTCGCCACCGATCAATGTGGAAGAAACACATTGAAAGGTTGACTAATATCCTGATCGATCAGTAAGGAAGCATAGTATTTAGGACCCCCAAGGGACCCTGGGAACTTGGGGAGATTGATTTTCAGAGCCTGGGAACACACACACACACGCAACCATACGCACAGGACCGATTCAAACCGTAAATGTAGGCTAAATGAACCTCTGAAATATTACCTGGGCAACTAGCAGACCGGTGTGCACAGCAAGATGGCGGTGAACAGCGGCGGACGGCCAATCACACAACGACCACCGGCAGAAGCCAATCGAGGACTTTGTGGGCCGGCTCTAAACTACAGGGCAGGACAGGGCTTCTCAAGCTTGCAGCGCGCGTTTTCCGTTGCGTCTTGAGTGCTTCGGACGAGTCCCTGTTTACTATAGCGGTACAACACTGTTTTATGGACGTAAAAACGCAGGGCCAAACGGCCCCTTTTACAAAAAGTGAGGGGGACATGTCCCCCGTGTCCCCCCCCCCGGCCCCCAGGTTGAGAACCCCTGTCTTGGTCGACTGATACTGAATGTTATGTGTATAACAAGAAAAGACAAGGTGAGTTGTATGGGCTCTGATGATTTGGTCTGTACGTGTGGGTCAGGATACGGTGCTTGTACATCTACCAGGAACTGAAGCACTGCTGCTATGCTGTCTTTAGTGCACAGTCTCTGCTTTTATTGGGTGTGAATGGACGTTGGGTAAGCTAACTACCCGCAGAGGGACGATGTGTTTGATGAACTGAGCTCCACCTGGCCATCTCACTGCAAGATATCTGCGTCTGTCAGGGAGTCACTCTGCTGCGATAGGCTGACCTGAGGGTAGGAAGAGGAGGATGATGTCACAGCGTGCTGATGTGGGGCCAAGCTTGGGCCTCTCAGGAGCAGAGAGGAGGAGGAGGAGGAAGAGGAGATGGCGGAGGGGATGAAGGGGAGAGTGGCAGAGGTGCTGTTTGCTGCTGACATGTTGTTGAGGAAGGTGCTGGACTGAGGTGACGCTGAGCTCTGTCTCTGCTGAGTACTGGAGGTGGCAGCTGAAACACAACAGGCCAGTTCTGTTGGGGGGAAAAAAGGAGCGTGTGACAAGACCCTCGCTTTCCTGCACACACGTGAAAGAAACGGGGGGTTCTGGATGTGTGCCTGGGAAAAGTGACAAACAAACACTTTGAAAAGCACAAGTGTCTCAACTCACCACAAGGCACGAGGAGCTGATGATGCTGGCTGCTGATGGGAAAGCCAGCTTGAGAAAGACCTGCAGCGCCACCTAGGACCTAAGAGAGAGCAGGACAGGAATGACAGGTCTAAGTGGGAAGGAAGGTTCATTAAATGTAAATGATACTCGAGTCCTAGTGACTGTTAGTCGGTGAGTAATAGTGAGGTCTGTAAGTTGCAGCTCATTGTTAATTATTTACAGCCATGTAGCAGATACTGTGCAATCAGGTAATGTACGCAGTGTGCAATCTTAAGTAGGATCTGCTGCTGTGATGTTCCTGAAGGTGCCAGTTACTAGCTTGAGTGCGGTGACTGATGGCACTCAAATGAAGCTGTGCGAGTCCGTATTAACGTTCGCTAAACGACTAAAATGAATCACTGCTTTGCAATGCTTTCGTTAAAAATCAGACAAAACACAGACACAGAAAGGAACTCTTAACCTGAATGAGTTATGAATGTTGATTTTCAGAGGAATGCTTGCTAAGTAGGACACTTTGTTTTTTTTCTCGGGTACGTATCAGAGGTATGATTTTAGATTTTTTATTAGTTTCTATTCTCATTTCATTTTTTAACGTTTGTTTTGAATTCGGTTTAGTTTCAGAGCTGAGCAGAGTGTAGATTGGAACTGGGTCAGTCTTACTCACCATGTACTCTTTTCTGTGATTAAAAAAACTAATGTCATTACTGACCTGAGACTGGTTTAGACACGCCTGGAGTTTCCTTTTTGCCCTCCATCTGGCCACCCTCAGTCTGGTCTTCTCTCGACGCTCTCGCACCTTCAACACACAGCGTCACATTTCACATTAAACATGGCAAACTGCAAGAAGACTCAGATAGAAAATTACTGTTTATGTGAATACGTCACATAGAGCAGTGGTTCCCATCCTTTTTCCTTAAGGGTCCCCTCTTCTGTCATTTAGTAAACTGACGACCCCTGATTAAATGACATATTTTATATATATTTAAGTTTACATTCAACAGGGAACTCAGTAACTGCAAGAAGTTTGTGTAAAACAAGTGGTTTGGATGAACTGAGCAGATTATTTTCTGTTTAGGGAACATTTGGTACAGTTCTCTGTTTGTATGATGTATTATTTTACAAATCTTAACAATCAGACATATTGAATAGGCTTCTTACTTGAAAAATTCAGTGTTTTCTTGTCACTGATCCTATTGTTCTATTAGACTATTTACTTTACATTTACTTTTCTTCACAGCAGTAAATGAAATGCTGAGATACAGGCCCACTGTGTATAGTTTTTAGGTTTTCCTACACCCCTTAAAATCAAGAAGGCCTCACAACCTCCAGTGAAGCTTTGGTGACCCCCAGGTTGGGAACCACTGACATACATCATTAGAATATGTTGAATATTTCTGTAAGGACGGCGTCCGCCCTGAACACTAAGGTTGACTAACCAGATCTGTCAGCAGAGGCTGAGGCAACGTCTTCTCCAGCTCTCTGCGTCTGCTGAGGTTCCGCCGGCGGAGCTCGTTCCTGCGCATCTTATATTCTTCATAAAGGCTGAGGTCCTTAGTCCAGGGCCGCACCGCCTGGCGAGCTGCGATGCCGGATGGCAAGGCCACCATCGACAGCAGGGAGCCTGCTGACTGAGGCATTACATCTGAGAGCACACACACAGAAAGGTTTGCAGTGGTCAGGCTTCATTAACAAATGAAATACAGATAGATATTTCAGGTGATGCTGATTTATATAATTAATGTTGGTCTTCAGATACACACACACACACACGCAGAACTACTCACAGGTGCTCGGTCCAGCTGAGCTGAAGGCTGTAGTGTGATTCCTCTGGCTTTCTGTGAGTCCTGACCTCTCTGTGACTGAGCCTTGAGCCTGCAGGAACACACGGAGCATCAATGCATTCTCAACAGTCTGGGATTCACTCCAGGAGTTATCTCGTTTTATTTTGTAATCTGTGTGTATTTTATTTCAGTTACTTTTCCAGAATCCTTTTCAGTGTTAGATCTCATTCTGCTCTTTTACTGCAAAGCACTCTGGTCAATTTTCTCACTCCCACTGGTCCGAGTACTGGCAGATTTGTCCCTTATATAAAATATAAGTAAAGTAATTGCAAAACAAAATAAAAATGATTAATA